GTCAATAGGGGGAAAGTGTAAAATTTTTAACTACAGTGAACAAAATAAAAAAAAAAAATTAGGAAGATAAATTTGTCAGCATGTTGGTTTATATCATTTACTTATTCAAAAGCTGAAAAAAGCGAATTTCATATATCCTGCCAAAATCAAGAGCATATTTTACCACTCTAGTAAATACATGTAATCCTGAACTCGGATGTGATATGGATGTACATGTATATTTGCAAGGGTAGAGCTCGGAAGTCAACCGAAACCAAGCATGTACATAACCGGGGGCGACAATACTAAGCACATGTATGTGCAATTTTGCTCAAGAGATATCATTGCAAATGCAAAAATAAAAAAAAAATAAATAAAAATTCTACCTGAACGTTAATTCCAGGTTTGAAGCATTTTAATTTTAAAAAAAAATCTATTTTAATTTGAACATATAACATTTAAACAGAGAGGGCTATCGATTCTCTCTTAGCTCTTGCTGTTACTCTTGCAAAATAAGAGAATATTGTAATACAATGGGCGTATCGAGATATTATCTGACACGTTTCATGAATAAAACATCTGAAAATCTAAAAGCCCTTTTCTATTCTGTTACATAATATCAGTCATTTCAAGATTACACCTCCCCTCTTGTCTTTTATAGAAATAACTGTGTAGCTACCTAGGGTGAATTTTCATCGATCGTTTTTCATAGGTATACTATTCAACTAAGAAACAATGCAAGAACTGTTTTTCTGACTGTTGTCATCTTTCAGATGTAGAGTAGGGGAGCTGGTGATATTATGGTACGACAGGTGCGACACAAAATAATGAATCCACGAAGTATCCTTATCCCATCATAAAACAGTAAAGGTGTCAGAGTTTAGAAACCTCTTTATTTACACGGTGTATGTTTAGTGCTTGTGTTTACATAAATAATCAGGAAGTTGTTTCAAATGCATATAAGGGCTTACAATGTTTTACCACTATATTGCTTGTTTGTAAGCAGGGTGTCCAACGAGAGAGAGAGAGAGAGAGAGAGAGAGAGAGAGAGAAATTCCACCTGAGTTGTAAAACACACATACACACAAAAATAACCTTTCACCTTAATTTCAAATAATGATCAACATTGAATTACATTCCTAATGATATACATGTATAAACAGTATATCCCTACCTTCGTGTGTGAGAGCAAGTGTATGCAAGGAGGGGGGATATCATTATGACATTGTGAAATTTGATCAGGACCCCCCCCCCCTTTTAAGAGTCTTCAAAGGGTCTAATAGATATTAACATGTAAGTATACGTGGTATACTAGTAGGATGTAAATAAGTGAAATACCTCAAGCTTATACTATCTGAATTAACATCTATATAATAATAATATAAAACATCATGCTTTACCTGGTTTTGAGATTCATGTACATTTCTCCATTAAGTCACCAAATACCCACTGGACATGATTTATAATCCACTCTTTAATGAAATCTTCAACAACAGTAAAGAGTTCAGTCAAGACGGTCTGGAAATTAAAATCCCACAAGTTTTACGGTCAACTATTGAATATTTCTCAAGCGTGACAATTGTAATACTACACCGTACATACCCGGCTTTCAAAGCTGCAATTTAGATTCAGTTCCGGTGACTGTGTAAGCATTTTTACAACGCTATTTGATCTGCAGGTACTATACAGTGTATACACGTCAATTCTGATCAAAGCGGACATGGGACGGCCATGAAAGAACGGTTTCACGAGATCTTCATTTGTCGTTTGCCTTCACATTTCTTTACTTTCATATTCCATATTCCCCTCTGAACTCATAGTTACTCGACAGAAATGCTGGTTATTGCAAAATTTATAAACGGGTGCTATAAATGATTGGCCGCTGCCGTGCAAGTTAACTGTCATCCCCCACACTTCATACTAATGCCATATAGCGGTATTTTCCGGTTCATTGCCTCGCTGAATCAGTTAAAATGGAAGGAAATCATAGATTGTCCCATGCAGAGTTATAATAGCGAAAAATCGATACCGTGAAAATCAATACTTTAATGATGGTCCAACAATTCATATCTATGGTAACAGAGTCAGGATTTCAAATCGATCTGCAATCCCTTTTATAATACATACATGTATTTACTTGTACATACATTGTGACTACTCCTAAGATTATAGGAAGGCATCTAATACACAAAAATTTATTTAGCTAAATATGTTTATCACTTTATATATACTTGTACAAAATGAATGATAATGTCTCAACTATAGAAAATTATTCCAAATGACACCATGACCTGATTACTTTTTTTTTTTTTTTATTTTTGTTAATTTTTTTATTCGCTTCATTCATTAATATTGATAGGCTGGAGTATAGGCGCTGAAGGCAAAGACCAATATTTATTACCAAGGGATTAAAAATTAAGAACGAGGCATTTAGCTCCTACATGTTAATGTGTGCGACTGTAAAAATCGATCGATACACATGAATATTAATTAATAGAACTACAGGTACACCAAGAAATTAATAGATAAATTATTTGAAGCCTGCTGTTCAGTGTGTTGCATTACTCGCCTATACCATTGTTAATGTAAAGTGGACACTCTTTAAATTATAGATTTAAATGTGACTTAGTTTTGCATAACAATACTTGTAAGGATTTCCTGTGATGGTTAACAATATTCCCAGGAAACATATGTAGGCCTGATAATGAATGTATATCTATCTATCTATGTATAATCTGTATGAAGTGTTCTCCCTGAAACAGTGACTGAATGGATTAAGTGATTTTCATATCTTTAGTAGATTCTTTTTGAGTGGCTAAAAAAGGTCCAGTTGCGATATAGTCTTTCTACAGCTTGGACACACATCTTGTTGAGGGACATGGATCTTAATTTCTTTTACATACGGAACAATTTCGCTTTTTAAAGTATAAAATCATCCACAAAAGTGTTTGTCGAGTCAGCAAATACCAAATAAGGTGCGACATTCAGAGCCAATATACATTAAATTCAAATAAGAAAATTTCTAAAGTCAAACACACTTCTTGGAATATAAAAAAATACGTAGATAGATAATATTTTATTCTATTTTATTATAGCTTTAAACCAGTTAACCCCCACCCAATGTGTTTGTGAAACACTGGTGTAACCGTATGGCATCCTATGGCATGGGTTGAACTTCCTCAAATGCATGTCAAACTCCAAAGGTCAAGGTAAAATGTTGGTATTCAAAGAAAGGTCTAATACACCTGTGAAATATGAAAGCCCTAGCTCTAACTCTGCAAAAGTTATGTTTTTTTATTACAGCTCTCAGGTAAGCTTGGACTTTCAGTAAAGCGTGGCATTCTCGGCGCAACTTTATCAGGGCAAAAACTCTATATGCCCTCGAATCTTCGATTACGGGGGCAAGAGAGAGAGAGAGAGAGAGAGAGAGAGAGAGAGAGAGAGAGAGATGCTTTTCAAGATTAAAAAAAAAACTATACTGTATAAGGCCATAAAATAAAGTTCGTTTCCCTCTCCCGAATCATGTTAAAAATATTGGGACTATATATGTAGGTGGTAAAATTTCAACATATTTGTTGACGGGATAAGAAGAATAAAAAAAAACAAAAACAAAAAACAAACAAAAAAACAAAAAACACCGTGGCCTGGAACTTAAGATGATTATAATCGGACCATTTTTAGTCAGCTGCATGGTCGGGAGAGGGCAACCAAAGAATTTTTGAAAGATGGCCTAATATTAATTATGAATTTTCTGCTTTCTTTATAAATATATCATACGTCCCTTATCTATAATGTAAACGTTTATATATTAAAACAAATCTGTCAATAATCTATTACTAAGCAGATTTTACACAAGATAAAGTTTTGCTTTCTCGTTTCTTTTATATTGTTGAGATACGGATATTTAGTTTAACATCTTATAAAATATACATAGAAAATCTTAAAAAAGAAAAATTAGGTAAGTCTCTGATAATTTACATGCTTTGTTTCATGTATAATTTTATGTTTATTGTCTGTTTGTAATTTGAGCAATTAAGCTGTGACAGGGTTAATATCGTTTCCTATTGACCCGTCAGAGACACGTACTGGGCCTCTTCTTTGTAAGTAGAAGATTTAGAGGACCGAACATGGTAAGTTGATATTATAGTATTGAAAACGTGGTTAAATTTTATTGAGTTTATTGAATTTCAATATTAGTACGCGAAACACTTAAATATTTACTTTAATCAAAGGAAGAGTGGAGTTTAACCATAGTATATATATATATATATATATATATATATATATATATATATATATATATATATATATATATATATATATATATATATATATATATATATATATATATATATATATATATATTTTATTTTTATATCATAGATGTAAAGTTTGTATATGAATACATATGTGAAGTTTGAAAAAATACCATGTGCCAACTATTTTAAAAGTTAAGGCCAAAATAAGTTCCCCAATTTTTATAAAAAACCTCAAATTTGGTTATTTTTATATAAAGGTCTTGTCACAAGGAATACACCTGTGAAATATAATTTATGATGATTACGGGGGAATAAAAATCCAAGAGGAAAATTGGCAGCTGGAAAGCCGGTGCTTTATATCGATATATGTTAATCTTTCCATAATTACACATCATAGGCGTCTTTGTTGCAAAGATAGACAAAATAAAGGCATTGAAAATTGGGGGTTACCATTTTTTGGTGGTCTAGCCCCCCCCCCCCCCCCCCCCCCCCCACACACACACACACACACTTTCAATTTGCTTCCGACGCCTATGCATATAAAATCTCACATACACATCTAACACAAAATCTTCTTCCACATGATATTCCACTACGTGTACCAATTATGTATACAAAAATTATATTAATCAAGGTTATTGTTTATTCTATCATTTCATTGGCATGCAAATATTTTGATCCGCACATGAAATATTTCATCAATGTGTACAAGACGCTTTCTTGATGTATCCGATTTCATCAAACGCAAATAGGACCACAGCGATGTCACACGTGGAACGTTATCAACATCGTTTTCAGCATCTCCACAATGAATCTGCTGCTAATTTTGGTTTTTATTGTCGGTGCGTCATCAGACAGCTTTTACAGTTATAGCGTAAAACAGGGAGACAAAGAAACAGACCTGAGTCAATATGCAGGAAAGGTAAAATGAGAGTTCTGCTTGATTTATAGAAAACTGAGTGCATTAAAATTGCTAGCCCCTATCTGCTCATTGATTGTATTCAGTCAGTGTACTGCTTATAAATAATCAAGGATTGTTTGTTCAAATGTAAACACGATTCTTCGATTTCATTTGCTTAATTATCAATATCTTTGATAAGTAAAGCGAGGAAGAGCAAACAATTATAATTAATGATATATTCTAAAATGATAAATGAATCCATTTTTCAACTTTGAGAATCCCCAGATCTTTCTGTTTTTTTTTCTAGGTGGTGCTTGTGGTGAATGTGGCGTCCGAATGTGGCTACACTGACGGTCATTACAGGTCTCTGGTCAGACTCCAGGACAAGTTAGGTTCCAGTGATAAATTCTCTGTCCTAGCCTTTCCATGTAATCAGTTTGGTAAACAGGAGCCTGGGGTATAATTAAACTCTAATAACTTGTTAATTTTGAAGATTTCATTTGAATCATTGATTTACAAAAATAATAAATTATTTGGAAATTATTTAAAAATAAAGCATATTCTTATGATTTTCCAGAGTTATAAAGAAATCCTGTCTTTTGCAAAGAAAAATTACAAAGTCAACTTTCCAGTATTTTCCAAAATTAATGTGACAGGTGATGATGTTCCTGAAGCTTGGAAATATTTAATTCGTAAGTAACATCCTTAATCTAAAAATCAAATTCTTGAATAACATTCCTAACCTAAATAGTACATTGTAAATATCTACAGTAACCAGTTAGTAACGTCCTTTATGTGTGACATTCCTAATCTAGATATCTACAATTTAAGTAAGTAATATCCTTCATTTAGATATTTATAGTAACAAGTAAGTAACATCCCTAATCTAGATATCTACAATATTGAGTAAAAAAAATCCCTTAAATTCAGATATCTATGGTATTGAGTAAGTAAAATCCCTGATTTAGATATCTAAGGTATCGAGTAAGTAACATCCCTAATTTAGATATCTAAGGTATCGAGTAAGTAACATCCCTTAAATTCAGATATCTATGGTATTGAGTAAGTAACATCCCTGATTTATATATCTTAGTACAGTAACAATTAAGTAAGTAACATCACTACAGTAGCTTAAATTATAAGTAATATCCCTAATCAAAATATCTATCTTGTAACATCCCTATAAATTTAAAAATAAAGAAATGTAACAGATCTTAATTTAACAGATATAAAGACTTTAAAAGAAAGACCTCTGATTTTATAATGGACTCGGTGCTCTTGTCAAATCAGGTTTGTTCCGTGTGAGTTGTTGTTATGCATCTTTTATTATGTTTTGTTTTCATGCATCAAATATTCATAATGAAATCTAGAAAAAAATGCACATATTGTCACTGCCAAGATTGTTAAGAATATAATTAATCAAACAATCATTGTGCACACACTTTATCAGTATGGAGTATTTATAAACAATGTTAGTTTGTTAACCACCTCTAAACCTTTCTCTGTACAGAAAACTCTGAAGAGCCAACATGGAATTTCTGGAAATACCTGGTAGATGAGAAAGGGCATGTGGTTCGAGCCTGGGGCCCTTGGATATCAGTAGAAGATATCACACAGGATATCATAGATGTCATTGATGGAAACTATTCTGTTAATGCCCAGAAGAGGGGGGAGCTGTGAACAGGATCTTGCTAGTCAATGTTTGATAAAGTACTTAACAATAAGTGTTTACATTTCCCCCTTTACTGTAAGTGTTGACATTTCCCCCAGAAGCAATATCCAAATCAATAATATTTATTTTCATTGATTATTGCAAAGCAAGCTTGAACTAAAATGTTTATTTTGTAGTTTTTTTATTCAAAAAATAAGTTTAAAAATTCAAATATATTCATTGGCCTATCCATGCACATCTGAGGAAAAATATATAAACAAATTAAAGCTAGTGGATGGCCATGGGTGCACAAGGAAATAAAAAAGAATCAAAGGTTTTTTTAAGGCTCCTAAATGTAAATTTTATTTATTTTTCGTTTGCAACACACCGTTAGTGTCGAATAAGAAGGGAAACAATATTCTTTGTCTATTGTGAAATGTTAAAATATAAAAAAAAAAACATTGTGAATATATATTATTAGTTAATTAAATCAATGAAGTTAATTTTCTTCAAACATGAAAGAACAAAATACATGTATTTGAAGTGTACAACATTCAAAGATTGCTTATCATATCTACATCTTTGTTAAATCCTCCCTAATTGAAAAGTATCAGATAGAAACACAGTTTAAGGGAGATAACTCTAACATGGATTTAACCAACAAAAAAAATTGTCACAAATCATGTTAAATTACAAAATACCATTTATGAATCACAGTATTAAATTAAGGGATTGTATGTACATGTACTTCCCAACTTGTGAATGTTTTTTATTTATTTATTTTTGGATGACTGTTCATTTACATCATTATGATTGATGCAAATCATCATACATAAGCATTTTCATCCCATAGAATCAAATTACTTTTATTAGACATGTATGTTAAACACAAGCTTGCAATCATAGAATAAGATGGTGTGATTTTTTTGGGAAGAATATGTATAATTAAATTCATTTATTTCATATTATAATTTTTTGATGCATTTGAGTTTGGAACAAAGAAATGTTTGAATGAAACTAAGTAATCTGAGTGTATATTAGTTTTTCTTGAGGGAAAGGAAGTACTAGTATTGCCAAAAAAAGTCTGGATAACATTGACTCGTTGCAATAAATCAGTTGTTCTGAAGTAAGAGTATGTTTTTTCCTTGAACATCTAAAGTCGTGAGCGACTGCGAGTCCTATATAAATAATACACATTAATTTATATCAGGTTTTCAGTGTTCAAATCTTAAAAAAAAAACTTCGATTCTAAGATCTGGAACAATATGCTAGTCTGATGGTCAGTTTAATCAAATTATGCCATCAGTGGCTGAAGTGTTTATGAGCCATAGATACAAAACTGATTATAACTTCTACAGGGTCAGTTAGCTTAAAACTAGAGGTACTGTGAATATTGAGCTCACAAAATTATATTTCTGCTTTCATATGAGTACAACTTTAGAGTCGTTTTTTTTTTTTGCGACGAGGAAGCCTAATATGTCATATCAGAAGATTTAAGGTACACAATGGGAGTATGCAAAAAAGATTGTAAAAGTCTCATTAAATTCTAAAAAGTGGTATAGCACGCATTCTCAATTTATAGTGCCAAATCGACTTTGGGAAAAGTCAAAAAAATTTGTGAACTGAAACTAACACTTTTATATATCATTTGAAACAAGATGGTTTATAGTTATTAAAAATCACAATTTGATTTACATACTTCATGCTTTGTTTTGTTGACCTCCTTCGAAATGAATGCGGTTGGAGGGCTAATTTTACACCAAGATATTTACGTGATGTTGAAAAGCCATATGTGGAAACGAAAGAATTTTTTTTGAAAAATACAAAATTAAGATAATACACATAAAATTTTGTTAACTATAAACATGTATGAAACCGTTTAAGCACATTTGTAAAAGGGTGTGAAATCTTTGATTCAATTATTAGTAAAAAGAAAACAGGCATCATTTTCATTTAAATGAAATTAGTTTCTTTTTATTTTAAAAAGTTTTTATCAAATCTGACGATAAGCTTAATAATGACAATATTCCCTAAAATGCTTCATTATTTGATTCTTTATTAATCTGTTCAGAGAAAAGCACATTATCTAAAATATCAGAAGGTAAAAATATTTCGCCATTACATGATTACGAAGTGTTTGTTAAATATCACGTAAATATCGCACATAGATATCATACAAAAATAAAAGTATATTCGTGGAAAAGTGAATGTATTATTACAAATTATTGAATTTTATGAATTTTCTTATCTGTGTTCTTGACAAAGGGTTGCACTGAAAATTCAAGTTATGACTTATCTATAGAGGATTCATTTATTTTATGACAACCCCCTCCCCCTTCCACCATTTAATCTGTTGATTATTTCAAATGCTTAATTGCTTGTGAAACCTTTATCGTCAAATCTCAAAAACAAAACAAAGTTACCCCCACCACCCTTAAAAAGGTTTGTTAATAACTACAGTTGCATATTATATATGTGCTCTATAGAGCAATATACGTACATTCTACATTAATATAACGTAAATTGAATTTTCAGTACATTAAATCATAGACGCATTCGTTCTAAGTTCTATGTCTAAGCAACAATTTAAATGGGAAAAATTAGGTGCACAATTTAATACATGTATTTCTTGCAAAGCAACAAAAATGGAAATGGATTCAATTTCGACCAGTTTCTTGACACCCAACACCCATAGCCGTCTTTTTTCTTTAACCCGATGTGGAATACAGCCCCCCCCCCCCCCCCCCCCCTTACATGCAGCGCAGCGCTTATTTTCTGGAATTATATTTTCTACGAAAAATAATATATTCTTCAAAATGTTTTGCTTGGTATACAATTTAGGTGTATATAACGATTATTTAAGTTGACGATGCACTATCAGTTCAAACAAACAGCAAAATACAAACTTTTAAGTAAGTTTTGTTTCAGATTTACGTTCCGAATGAAAACGTGCATTACACTATATGCAATATTAACCAATTGCTCAAAATGTAAACATTCGATCATTAAACCACAATTCTTCTTGTTAATGATATTATGTCAATTCAATTTTCAAATCACACGGAAGCACAAGATAATGTGTTAAATATGTTCACCTTTGCATGTGCCCTTCCATTTGCATTTTTGCACTCTTGTTACAGAAAAAAATGTCATTTTAAGAAACAGTTTATTTCTTCATGTTTTTAGGTTTTAAATCATTAAGATTCACTCGCAAATCTGTTCAAACAGCTTTAGAATTTAATTCTAATTTACTTTAAAACATGGTAACGTAAATATCGGTAACGTAAATATCTTTCTGAGATTTATCGTAACTTTTGATGCTGTTGTTTAATTACTCCACTGCTAATTAAAGACATATTCTAGTGCTTGAGTGTAAGGCAATTTGACCCATAGGAAACAGTGTAGTTCTCTTACTTGATTTGTGAATAAATACTAACACGTAAATATCGATGAATTTTTTAACCATTGCACTCATAAGAAAAGGGGGCTATTTTTTAAAAATACAGATAAACAATGTCTTTTTTACCATTCCATGCAATGGAACAGGTGTTCATGATGTTAAAAAGTTACAACTTAATCTTATTGAGTCAGTTCAGCAGTCCTTCCAGTCCTTTTTAATTTCCAAATAGAAAAGTAATAATTTTGCGGTGACATCAAAATTTGATAAATATATTAAATTAAAAAAAAAAATGACACGCATATGTGTGAAGGGTGTGATATTCAGAAAATATAACTCAAATGTAGGACAATCTTACTAAGAAAAAGATACGTAAGTGATTTAAAACTTCTTTTCGGTTTAAAATAAAAACTACACTATGATCGGCGACAGTAACATAAATATCGATTTCTGCTATAAAATGCGATTTTCGCCTAAGACAATCATTCAAGTTACAACAAACAATTATTGTATTTTAATCAACAACCAACAATGGTTCATTTGACTGACAGAAAATAAAATTTATTAGAAATATTTTATTACTTAAAACACGGTACATTATTTAAAGCGAATTGAGACTATAATTTGAGAATCAGGGATAGGAGGAGTTGCGCATAAGAAATGAGTGTCCCGGATATTATACAAAGTACGATGACACTGTCTATCATCCCAAATATAAGTCCATTAAAAACGTAAAGTTAGGATGTCCACAATGACAATATGGATTTTGTGAAACTTTGATTAAATTATTATGAGTGGTAAAGGAGGTCATTATAAAACAGCTGTTTGATTATAGTTCTTAAAATGATTTAATGGTTTACGACGAGTAGTGAATAAGGATTGGCCACACCCAAGCATTCAAGACGGACATCACCATACATATGTACCCTTAATTTTTAAGTAAGAGATGAGAGTATGAAATATATAGATATAACAAACAGTATTCAAGCTCAAAAGTCCATTAAACAATACAAAATAGGAGCAGGGCAAACACAGACCAAAACAAAAAGAGGTGGGATCAGGTGCCATGGAGGAGTAAGCATCCCCTGCCAACCGGTCACACCCGCCGCGTGTTCCCTGTCGTGAGCGGGAAATAATGGCCGAACAATTAGTATGAAAAATGCTACTCAACGTTTGACTTAATAATGAATTGTATTTGCTGACAAGGTCATTGTATCGACTTTTGAACTCACGAAATACGAACTTACAAAATGATGACGTTAAAGGAGACTGCTGATTTTCTTGTTTCAGCAAGTTTTTTGTCAATAAAGTACCTCGTTTTAAAAATATTTCACACGTAGAGCATGCTCTTGCATATCAAATCAACTGACAGAGATATAAACCCTGTGTACAGGTGATGAAGGTATATTGCTGCATAAGTAAGGGTACTCTGAGTATTTGATTGAAAAGTTAGTCAGCTCGCTTGTCATGAAACTTGGTTGTTCGATTACCTTAAATTAACGTCTTTTTCAAGTATAAGATATGAATATGAAACAGATGTGTCAGACTCTGTGGTATCTTTTATTTCAAGCTCATTGTATGAAAATAACCATGCATTGTTAATTTTAATACGTTGTCGATATATCTAAAAGTCGAGTTGAAGGCCACAGGAAGTGTTTTCTTCTTTTCACTTATGAAATTTTTGACAAATTCTGCTTCATATGAAAACAAAAATGGGTCTGCTAATAACTGGGCGCCATTTCTTATAGATGAAACATGTGGCGATAACGAACAGTATTCAAGATAAAAAGTCCATAAAACAATACAAAAAAGGAGCAGAGCAAACACGGGCCTCCAAAACAACTGTGCAATGGAGGAGTTAGCTTCCCCTGCCGACCATGCAGTCAAACCCGCCGTGAGATTTCATAAATTACTTTAACGGTCAGCCTAAATAGTGGATTGATGCAATATGCTTTAAGCTCTTTGAGTTGTCACACTATTGCATATTCATCATGTTCATTGTGATTTTGACTTTTAGCTGATTCTGTGTTAAAGACTCGTCTGAATTGTTTTTCCCCGAATATGTATCTTTGCATGTTTTTAGTTTAATACAAGACAGAGTTGCATTAAAAGTTCTTTGAAATAAGTATTATACTTATTGCCGTTATCGTAAACAAATTTGATTTTCATGTAGTCGTACAATTAAGTTTGAAAATAATGGTCAAACAATTGACTAAAATTGGACTCAAGTCAGTTTGTATTTACAAACATAGTCATTGCATCGACCGTAGAGGATGCGAAATAATGACTTTAAACTTAAATATTGGTCCACTTGATCATAAATTTATTTGTCACGAGCCTGGTTTAAATTTAGAATTTGTGTTTTTCAGAAAAAAAACATTTGCAGTTGATTATAAAATGGATTATTGCTTTGTTAGTACGGAAAGTTGACGATATAAAAGTTGATATCATAACATTTATCATTAGTAAAATTTAGTGAGTAAAACATCGAAATGTGAAATTCTGTGATGTCTTGTTTCGAGTTCAAATGGATATGTCCAATCAATTATATGTAAATTGACAAAACGTATTTTTCACATCAAGATGAACGACACACACAGTTAACCAACACAGAGACTACTAACAAACACACACTTTGGAAAAAAAAAACATTTCAATACGTAAACTGATGTTTTGGTTGAATGAATTTTTTTTTCTAAAATCAATTTTACAGTCAAAGACCCAATATTGAACTACTGCCTCATTCTATTTTACATAGAGTTAAGCTAAGTCAATTTGATCAATATTGAAAATGAAGTTCAAAGGAAATGCAACCATTCCAACAGAGTCCATAATTGACACATCATTAAACGGATTTTTTTACTTAGAACTTAAAATTCCAGACGATAGCTAGAAGTAGAAGTCCCTGTGAAAAGTGACAGTTTTTATAACTATCCTTTTGGACGAGGTCAAGATAAAAATACTTGTCAATCCCTCTTGTCTAATGAGAAATTCCGCATTTAAGACATTCAAACTTCGATAACGGAAGATTGCCATATCTTAAATTGTAAAGTACTTGAGTTGTAGATTATTTAAGAAGCTTCAACTTAATATATCTCACCTGTAAAAATGTAAAGGACAACCCAGAATCTGAAACATCATAGTATGTATCCTATTTTAAATAAAGATTGGTAATCACTGGTTAGAACCCCGTAAATAATTGAAATAATATATTTCTTTCGATTTTATCCATGCCTTCAACTTATTTCATTGTGTAGCATTCGGGTCGCCAATACTGAAATAATCGTGTTTTAAAGGAGAAAATTCTTCAAAATCATATGTCAGTTTTGAATATTTTTGATATCCTAACAACCAGAATGAATTTGAATAACCATATCCATATTGGATTCCAAACTTCTCAAAAATCCTTACAAAGATACAAAGCGGGATCCAGTAAATGTTCTACCAAACCCCTTTATTACTCATCACTAAGATATTAACAGTAGGGAAGAGAAACTTCAGGTGTATTGTGCAACAGTATATTCGAGAAGTGGTGTAAATCAGAAGTGGATAATTAAAAATCCAAGGAACTTTTAGAAAATTTGAAACCACAAAATTTTACCGAAATCAACCGCATAAAAACATACGACTTTTTCAACTTATTTACAACCATTCCCCACGATAAATTAAAGTCCAGGCTTTTTGATATCACTGAAAGCTGATTTTTAATAAAAATGGAACTCGTTAATTTACTTACCTTGTCAATGGTCATTTACAAAATTATTTTGTTTAAAAACATTCTGATTGTACATACAAGTACTCTGGAGTTGATACTAAAAAGATGCATGGTTTTTTTTTATTGACAATATCTATATGGTTTTTGGAGACCACATCTTTCAACAATCTATTGGGATTGCCATGGTATCAATAGAATACCTAGTTTTGTTGTCAAATAGGACAGAATTTGTCCAGTATCTTATAAACGAGAAGAAGATAACTAGCTGTGGTCTTCATGCAATTCAAATTGTTTTGAAGGTCCATTATTACTCTGCTCCATTACGTATTGTTTAATGGACTTGTGAGCTTGAATGCTGTTCGTTATCTCCGTATACATGTATTTCAGTTCTAAGTACTGGAGTTGTAGATTGTTTAAGAAGCTTCAACCAAATATACATGCATCTTATCTGCAAAATTGTAAACAACAATCAGAATTTAAAACATCATCGTATGTATCCTATTGTAAATCAGAATTGGTCATCGTTGGGTTTGAACCTTGGAAATCATTGAAAGAATATATTTATTCAAGATATTTTTATCCGGGTCTTTGTCTTATTTTATTGTGTAGAGCACATGCAGCAGTACTAAAATAATCGTGTTTAATAGAAATTCCAAAACATATTTGCATACCCCCTGGTATTTATAATGGGCGATACTAAAAGAATTCTGAGTTTATCTTTAGAAGCTAAATATGACTTATAATCATTTCATGACTATCATTTGAAAGTATTTTTTCTTTAGCTAAGAAGGAACAAAATTGAGGTATCCAGTTTTTGTTTTATTTTTCAATGTTAACAAATACAGTGTCTTATTAAAATTAAAAATGGTAGCCTTTCTCTCTGGAAACAATATCAATGTGGAATATGATGTAAATCTCTAAATTTCTGGCCCACCCCTCTCTTTAAAGTTTAGGAATGGCCCTTCATAGACAACCAAAGCATATTCTACACGGATAGATTTCACCTCATTCAGCTTGCATTCAGTTCATACTAGCAACATTTTCTCAAATGATATAGTTTTAAGTAATAACATATCAATGTCAAATATTACATTAACCAAGTAATCTTTTTTAAAAAATTTCAAAACATTTCACTGCTAAAGAATATGACGCAGAACAGTTCTAAAAGTTTTACAATAAGAATAATTCATACATAGATTGTTTTGGATTTTGTTTTTACAAAAGAAGTTTACCCAAATTTGTTATACACTTTCATAAAAAAAATACCAGAAAAAATTTTTAAAATACAATAAAAACTTTTGAATGCTACTTTTTCAAATAGAGTACATTAATTTAAAAAGTTTACACCTGAGTTGTAAAACACAGCCATTTATTCAGCGTTATCAAAATTAGCTTGAATCACGTCCTTCCTCTGATCTGATCAAACTTACAGAGACCTTTTGGGTTTTATCTGGAAGTTCTCATATACAGAGGAGGAAACGGATTCAATGCATAACATTTTGATAACACTCATTAAAGAAAGATGAATTACACAGCATATAAGATATACATGTTAATTCTCGTTCCTGGGATTAGTACAAAGGATGATAGTCTTTTCGAAGATTCACAAAAACTACAACATCAAACATGACCTCCAATGCAAAGCAACCATCAAAGGAAATCTAGTACTGTCACTGTCAGGTCTGGCGCTGTCAGAGACAGGGCGCCCTATCAGATGTTCCTGGTCGACACTGTCAGGAACCGGCCTGTCATTGTCACATAGGGTGTCACTGTCAAGATCGACCATCTCTCTCTTGTCAGACAATGCCGCTAGATGTCTGAGTTTGTCATTGTCAAGCTCCGCTCACAGAATGTCACTGTCAGTCAGAATTGTCAGTGGAGTCTAGGGAGGATTGTCACGATCAGGTTTCTGTCTCCTGTTGATCTAAACACTGTCAGGAGAGATTTTGGCTGTCCAGTTGTTGTCATTGTCAAGACCCTGCGCTATGTTGTCACGATCAAGAATTTTCATTCGATCGTCCACTATGTCATTGTCAGTTACGATTAACACTAGTCTGCATTGGTCACTGTCACCTTCCAGTCAATGCATTAGGATTGGTACAACTGACATATGCGTCAACTGTATTTCCCATGGGTCACTGTCAGGAGACATCACCCAGGTGTGACTGTTGACATTGTCAAAGACAATCACCTTCCCCGTGATGTCACTGTCAGGTCTGAGAGCCTATTTCCCCTGGATTGCTTTGTCACTGTCAGGAGATATTGTTTGATGGTAGTTGATGTCATTGTCAAGTGGGTGATCCACTCTGTCAGAGACAGGAAGCGCCCTCTGACGGTCACTGTCACTGAATGTTGGAACCCTCTTCCTGTCAGGATCAGGATCCTCTAGACCCCTGTCACTGACAGTCTTCCAAAGAATCGTCTGCTTCAAGGTGACAGTGTCACATTGGTGATCGTGCTAATGCAGTAAGCTGATGTTGTCAAGAGCAGTCTGTGGATGACAGTCCTTTCTCTTGGTTACAATGTCAGCTCGACAGCAGTTCTCAGTTGGTATTATCAGCCAAGAACTGCTGTCGGTGACGTCTACGGAATGCAGGACAATTGTAACAGAGACATTCACTGTAAACAGTTGAACTGCGTTCTTGACAAGATCAGAAGCTAATTGCATCAGAACTACCATAACTGTATCAAGCACACTCTTCTTTCAGGGCTGAAGATGGATGGGGACAGATACAAGAGTGTTGGGGCTCGTAACTAGACCGATATTTCTTTATAAATTTTCATAACCTTTGTACCAATAAATTACGCAAGGCACGGTTGCGACGCATCGCTGTTCACCTGTGCGTTGTTCATTTTGGAACACGGCCGCCGCGTAAGGCAACACTGTTCATTGATACAAGAGATGAACCTCTGTTTCTAATTGCATGCCTGCGTCGGCGAATGACAGAGGAAAAAGAGGTCCTCTGTACATTAGTTCTTTGTTCAGTTGTATGTACTTTTGTTACGACTTTGGCCTTAGAATTGACACTACAGTTGCATGGATTGTCCAGGTATGTTGACAAAATTTTACTTTGCATGGTCCCTGTTGTTATGAGGCTGTCTGGTTTTCTCAAATGATGCACAAGTGTACCACACCTGGTTATCAGAAAAAAGTTATCAGTCAAAGAATCTGCTGTCTATGTAAGTTCGTTTACAACAGTTTTATCTTTGCTTTAAGTTTTTTTGCAGATTCAAAAGGGTTATTGACTAATTGTATATGTATGAAATTACAGATAACACTGGTCCCTATCACATAACATGACACATGCTACAAATTAATGACCTTTACCTGTCATATATAAATAGATCATCGATTCCACCATTAAGTTTTTGTTGTATCATTAAGGTGGGCTCATCCTGGTACACAGGGAAAGACACACGTCTCTTGAGTTCGTCAATAAAGTCCTTTGCTCTAACATGGTTAACAATGATAAATGAAATGTCTTTTTGGCCTCCATTATGGAATGCTTTTCTTAATGTTTCCAGGCTGCGAAAAGAACGCAAGATGAAGGATGTAAAATCTCTAATATTTATTTTGAACAAAAAGATACTTAACTCCTTGTAGCAAAAATCTTCAAATATAAATGATAATTCTGAAAAAAGCATCACATTTTGCATTAAATAACCATAAGAAAACTCATGCGAAATACAATTATAATTTACAAGAGACACATACTAAAACCAAATTTACATTAAGAACGAGCTTCTCGTCATGAAAGTGACAGGTGCAGTATTTGTGAAATCGTGCTTAGAAAAAGTTATTAATGGTATGCCACAAAAAAGTGACAGGAACACAAAATTATCTTTACAAATTGTCCGTGGGATAAAGGCAAAAGTAAATCTCTGTAAAATGTATTTTCTTAATCGATAAATATCAATTTTGGCGAAAAATTTTGCTAATGAGGTCACAGCAGTTGGTTTTCCTAATTGTTCTAATCTAAAAGTATTATTCAATCATAAAATAATTAAAATGATCATTGATTTTGCAATTACTATTCTTCTCTATCCAAATGAAAAATGCAAATCTGCCATGACCAACATACGTGTTTTCTATTAATTGTGCAATTTTGTTTAAAGCCAGGGCAATCGTAAAACATTTAAACAGTGCCTATTATAAATTTTCACGCAGTATTTTCTGTGGGATACTCACCCTTCTGCTTGTTGTTGACACATTGGTCAACTGGCCAACAGCAGCGCCACCACTGTCACGTTTCCTCGCGCCATCTTGATAGGGTCGGTTCCATCGGCGGTACGCCAAGGAAGCATCGACCCATTACAAGTCTGGCCTAGGGAGGAGGAGAGAACAGCAGCGGTCAGCCACACGACCAACCATAGGCCGGGGCCCCGCATCACGATCTGTTAAACCTGAACTGATGGAGAAATAATTACATCACTGAACTGAGGATGTTTATTTATAAATTATGCAAGATTTATATGTATTTTCTATTCTCTTTAGGGAAATGAACAGGCTTTCGCTTCTATCCTGGATGTATACGAAAGCCTGTCCGCATCTCTAATGAGAATCAAGTATTTTCGTAACAGTACTAGCTGTATAATGTAAAAAACAAAGATAACGTTTGAAGGCCTTCTAGAGTTTTTTTTCTTGCATTTATTTTCATTTACTAAGAATTGGATGCTACTTAACAAAATTGCACTGCACAAATCAATCGATCTTAGTCAATTTTATACTGATATGATTTTATTGTGTTATTGCTTTTGTGTCCACTCTTCATGACAATACCGTTAAATTGAAATTACCTCAACATATTTTTAATGTATAGCTATGTCTTTATATACGAATATTACCTCAACATATTTTATAATGTATAGCATTATCTTTACATAAAAACTAAAATTATAGACCTATATAAAAGAATAAAAAGTTAAAAACCTAGTACTGCAAGTAGTTGAAGATTTATATGCGCAATATACAAAGAATTTACGTACACATAGTAAATATGACCTACATATCCTGATACATGATGGATAAGTACATATATTACAGAGCAATAAACCGATCTTAATGCAGTAAAAATAAAATTTACTTGAAGAATTTAAAATACTGAGTCTAACACATACATCAACGTAATCGAACCTTTTAAGGTAAATAAATAAAGTTTTAACTTTTACCTTCTTGGTAAGTTTTTGTAAAACACGTCCAGTCCGGGCACCAAATCAGCTGACAGCTGAATTATGTGCTGGTCACGTGGTTTATGAACAGTTAACTATATTTACTTAAGATTGCATATCTTCACACTATGAACGTGATTTGTAACATATACAAGATAAATTAGATTAAGCTGAAGTGTGCTCTAATTTTTTTCTGCCCATACATTGCATGTTTTAACTTTTTAAAAATGCAATCAATTGATATAAAAGATGATAATTGTCCGATTTTAACTTGCTTCAACTGGATTCTTTAATGAAATAAATTTTATCAAGGTAAAAAATAGAAAATCGTTTTTCCTCAATATGTGTATCTGTGTGTTTTTCTGAAACACCAAGCATAAGTTCTAAGCTTTATAAGTAAAGTTTTTTTAACAGATGAGGGTTTAGAGTTTATTCTGCTGGACATGTACTTTGCCCCATTGAACAAAGACACCACTTCTTTTTATCATGATAATTGTCCGTGATATTGAATACCAAAGGTGGGAAGACTTCGGGGAAAGTTAGTATATCCTGCAATTTCTTATGATAGCATTAGCTATCTTCCAGTGTTAACCTAATTTCAATATTTCTTTCAAGTAATATACATGTATGTATCAATGGTTCACTGCAAAAGCGTGCATGGAGTTTTTTTTAAACAAGAATTTAAAATGAAGTGCACTACGACCTTGAACTTTTCATGTATACCTTGTATATACATCAACAGTTCATGGGAAGGCTTTTCAATAGATATCTGAAATGAAATAGAAAAAGTTCGTGTATGATAAGATATAGTGGCCTTGCACTCCAATTAAACTTGCACGTATGGCTTACCCAATGAAACATCCTTTAAAAATCCAGCATGTAGTTAGACATCATTAAACCATAAGTGATGTATTTGCCAAGTGTGAATAGTGTGAATTACAGTATCGTTTTGGAAAGTGGGGGCCAGCCAAAATATAAGTAAATCTCCTCAATTAAATAAAATCTGACGAGCAAAAAAAAAAAAAGGTTATTTAGGATGTACATGCCTGTACTATTGTTTTGGCACCTAATCCCACCTCTGATGTTTCGGAGGTCCGTGTTTGCTCTGCTCCTATTTTGTATTGTTTTATGGACTTTGATATTGAATACTTTTCGTTTTCTCCATATCCTTCTTTTGCATAAAAAGAGCATGAGAATGTGGACATTTTTGTGTTTGTAGCGTCCTAGTTTTACCTACCTAGAGTAGTTACATAGACTGCGTACTCTTGTATACCTGAGTTTCAGGGCGAGAAACTTCTGACTTGGTACTGGGGTAAATCTTACTTGGAATAGGAAATAGTTATTTTATGGGGTTTTATTTAACTTTCGTTGTTTAAGAGGTTTGACGGATACACCCACGAATTAATAACCACCACGAAATGTAAAATTTCAAATGCATTACTACTCAACACTTCTCCAACCACGAAATCAAATCCCAACAAACCAGTTCTTTTTTCAAGCCCCACGAAACTACGTGATCTTACAGTGAGAATATGTACCTGGCATGATCTTGCATCTCTTTTCATGTAGCTGTGTTGCGAAATGTTTCTTCACAAATTTTTCCCTGAGTAACGAAAACCTATCAAGAGGAAAATAATTGAAAGGCGTTACATAACACGAAATGAAAGGCGTAAGAACGTGAAATGTCTTAAAAACACGAATATAGCTTTGTTGGTTTTAAAAAGGCAGATGGGAAGATTAATAGCGTTTTAACATAAATAAAAACTCAATAACGCAAATCAAAATGCGTTATAATTAGAATGAATTATTTTTTTCTGAATGATTAATTAATTAATTGAATGTTGTTTTATGTCCCATTTGAGAATTTTTCACTCATCAAGAGACGTCACAATGTACCGGTGAAGAGCTTCAAAAAAGGACTTTTACTCTGCACATAGGGCCATTGAGCAGTGAAAGTTCTTTATCGTAAAATGTAGAGGTGTTATAATGCTTTTCAAATTGCGTTTGAAAAAGCTTACATCTTCTTTCTAGTAATTTGATTTAATGTAGATTTCTTAAGTATGTATGCATATTAATTTTCAGCTTACATTCACAAACCCGAAACAAGACGAGTAAATAAATAAATAAAATTACTGAGTATTTAAAAAGTTTATATAAAATCTTCAAATCGAAAAAAAATCTTTGTTAAAAAAAATAATCTTTAAATGTTCAAGATGTTAAAAAATTCCTTTCACTGTGCAGACTTACATTTTTATAAGATCACAATCAATAAATTATTCAATATTAAAATTTTTAACCTAAAAGGAGAGTTTTATAATCAATCTTATTTTTTTTTCTGAATATAGATAACTCCCAAAAATTCTGTAGATCTCTTCAATCTGTGCAAATACACATAGCTTTCTTAAACATGATAAGGGTATCCTTATAAAAATATCACCTCCCATTCATTGCAAAACTATTTAACAATTGCTTATTTTTTTAATACTAACTAAAGGAAACAAAGAAATATATAGTTTTTCAAGAGAGACAAAGTTTCCTGCTGTAAATTAATTTGAATCCAATGTGGTTACTCAATTTGAAGATCTAACATATTATTATCAGTATTAGTATTAGGCAAACTATATGGATTTTAATTAATAGCATTGGTCTTTTCTTATTCACTTGGTTGTCGTTCTTTGTATAAACGTACAATGTCGTTGTAAGCCATAGAAAACCACCATATGTCGTTCTACATAGAATTGTGACATTTCCTATAGAAAATAAAACACCAGTAAAGTAAGATAGATATTCATTTATTTTTAATTGTACTTTGGACATGTCAAAGAAGTCATTAATTCTGATGACATCAATTTTAAAGCACTTCAGAGGTTAGCTGAAGACTGTGGTTTAAATCTTTTATCTGTGCGTTATGTGTAGGAGGATAGTGGTATTTTGCTTCTTCTCAGAAAAAAATGTAGATATTTTGTGTTAAAGATACATAGTGGGTTTTATTGAATAGGCTACTAGGTTTCTTTCTGTACTTTTCATTAAAACAGTAGTGAGAAACTTAAGGAGTACTGTGCAACAGTTTATCAGAAAAGTGGTATTTATCAGATATGGATACTTAAGAATTCCAAAGTACATCCAGAAAAATTAAATTCACAAAATTTTACCAAAATTAATCACATCAATACGTACGACTTTTAAATACGTTATACAACCTCTCCCCACGACAAACTAAAGTCCTGGCTCTTTGACGTCAAGGCAGCTGCTTTTTCATTAATAAAATGGAACTCTTAAAACTTACCTTGCCATTGGTCATTTACGAAATAATTTTGTTAAAAACATTGTGATTGTACACATTAGTACTATGAAGTTGATTTTAAAACGATGCTTGAAATTCTGATTGACAATATCAATGTGGTTCTTGGATATAATATTTTTGAAATCCATGTGATTGCCTTTAAAAATTACAAAGTATGTACTTCTTAAAAAGATAGGATCAAATGAAATCATATAGAGAGCAACATTTGAAATCATAACAACCTTTGCCAGCCAATAAGAAATATCACACTTCTTCCTTGGAATATATTTTATGGATCATTCTTTATTGTTTGGTTACATTTCAACATCTTATTGCTTTAATTTTTATGTATATGACTAATAGATAAATAGAAATAAAGGTTATTACTTTTGTATACTTTATTTCTTTAGTAATATATAAAAAAAGGTTAAATTCGCAATCCTGTATTTAGGACATAAAGTCCTAAACTTTTGAAAAATAGTCTTGTTATTTGTCTGCATTGCAGTTAACGTTAACCAAAGAACTCTGAACATGTCAAAATGCGATTTTTCAAACTTAAAGGAATGCATGTCGCCCTGATAATCAGGACACAAAACAGTTTGTTTTATCCGATTTGATGAAGGGTATCAAAGACTTTAATTATAGAGAGAAACTATGTGTTCCACAGTTCCTTTATAAAAATTCAAGTGCACAGAGAATGGCTTTCAATATACATGCACTTACTAGCTATTTTTCATTGGAATAAAATATATGGAGATACCGCACAGTATTCAAGCTCAAAAGTCCATAAAACAATACAAAATAGATGCAAAGCAAACTTGGACCTCCAAAACATCAGAGGTGGGATCAGGTGCCATGGAGGAATGAGCAATTTCTGCCGACCAGTCACACCCGCCGTATGCTCCTTGTCATGGTCGGGAAATAACGGAAAAATCCGTCGTCAATTCAGTGCACAAACAATGGACTAACAATTAGTATGAAAATTGTCAGTCATCATTTGACTCAATGATAAATTGTATTTGCTGACAAGGTCATTATATCGACTATAAAAGTAGTAATATGAATGACAATGTTTCGAGGTTGCCTCTCATTTTTTTTTTATTGTACCCCTGCTTGAAAAGCAGAGGGGTATATAGTGATAAGGGTGTCCGTTCGTTTGTTTCGCTCTGGGGTATCCACTTCTTATACGCAGCTCTTTCTATTCCACTGTATAAAATTTAATGATATTTTGGCAGATTCTTTATTACTTAATGCCGTTGTGCACCCTTTATTTTACTTTTTGAAGTGACATTTATTTCGGGTCTTCAAGAGCTAAACAATTGTACTTTGTCATTATAATGATATGGGAGGCGGGGTATCATTTAGTGAGCCCAGTGCTCACAGTACCTCTAGTTCTCACTGATTTGTCTACCGACTTTCTATTTGCCCTATCATGACCAGAAGCACATGGAGTATGTGACCGGTCATTACGTGATGCTTACGTGTCTTTGGTACCTGATGCAATCTGATGTTTTAAGAGGTTCTTGTTTGGTTTGTTTGTTGATTGTTGACAATAATTAATTTTATTGTTACCATTCGATGATCCCTAAAAATTCAAAACCTTCAATGTTTTTCTTTTTACATACATGTAAGAGGATAATAACACATAAGGGTCTTTCAGATAATACTACCTAATAAAAAAATAATTTAAGTAAAATTGTTATGAATATCCAAATTTGCTCTTTTTGGGGTTTTTAGGTTTTCTAATTTCACATATGGTAATTAGACATAAAAGATATAAAACAAAACGTTTTATCGTTTAATG